AATTGCCCCATCAGGGCTTCTCTCAGTCCCTTATTAAAGCTCTGAATCTCATGCCACTCGTATCTTCTGGGTCACAGTATCCTGAGGCTAACAATGGGTAATTCTGATAGTACCAAGAGCTTTACTTTGGCTCCTACTCCCCAGTTATTGGAGAAGCCTTCCTTGAGAGGAACCTCAAATATCTCCTGGGGTAAGACTCTCCATGCCTCCCACTGTCCAGACCACTGGCACCCACAGAGCTATTCACAGGGCCTCCTCTGCTGGTAAAGGCCATGTTTGGCCACTTCTGGCCACTCCCCACCCTCCACTTGTTGCTGCTGCTACGTTGCTGTGTCCACTTCAAAGATGCTGGGGCCACCTCTCCTGCTGGTACAGGTGCTGTTAGTGCTGGTGCCACCGCCACCGCCAGTGCTGGTGCCACTGCCACCACGCAAGTGCCACCAACACTGCCAGCGCCGGGCTCACCGCCGCTGCTGCTAGGTGGCGTAGAGGAGCGAGGAGCTTTTGTGTGCTGTTTGCTCAAGTTTGCAGGCAGATGGGGGACAGACTGAGTGACAGGACACCATGAAGCACAGTCATCCCTCGTTATCCAGGTGGGACTGGTTCTAGGACCAATGCAGTTATCAAAATCTCAAGTTCCTTTACAGAATGTCACAGTATTTTTATGTGACCTGTAATCCCCTCCTTCATACTTGAAATCCCTTGAGATGACTTACAATACCTTATACAGTGTAAGTAATTGCTATGCCAGATTTAGAGGAAAAGACAAGAACAAAGGAGTATAGGTGTTCAAGGCTGATGCACATTTTCCCAAAAAATATTTTCCATCCATGCTTAGTCGATCAAATCCATGGATATGGACTAGAGGATGCTAGGGACCCACTGTACTCAAATAAAGCTTCACTCAGGACTCTCTTGGGATTTTCAAGAGACAGATTACTTGGTCCCCCAGGCAAACAGATTCCTAGAATGCCCAACTCACTCCCAAGACCTCTGTACAGGTGGGGGGAGACAGTGAGGGCCAAGTTGAGACCTGCTTCCTGCCCCCCCCCACCCAGGTGTAGCCGATCAGGTGTCTCTTTGTTCTGCTGTTACGAAGCTGAGGACACATTGGTGGCCCACCTTTTAAGAGTCAACAGGACCTCATGGCAGTCAAGCTTACCCTTGACTTTGCCCAGTTCTCCTGTCAGTCCTGCTTCTCAACAGTATCTGTATCATTTTATTGTAACATGTCTAAAATGTCCCTTGTAGAATGATACAGAAGGCTACACAAGTAAAATAAAATTAAAAACGAAGAGCTGGAGTAAGAATGTTATGTTACACATTTTAAAAAGAAAAGCCCATTTCTAAATTTGTTGTGTTTCATTAGGGATTTTTTTTTTTTTTCCTGTAGGCTTCAAATAAGCTGAAAATCTTGGCCAACTGACTTGGTATTTCCAGTTAGAACACAGAGCTCTGGGACGCTTACTGCACCAGAATTACAGGTGACTGTTCACCTCTACGCCCTTGATGGACAGTCATCGAGACCACCGCTGGACCTGGCTGGCACAGCCCCACCCTCCACCTCCTCCACCCAGACTCCTTTCCTGGAGTCCTGCAGCCCAGGTGGGCTGGAATAACTAATTCACGGTTAGGTTTTAAAGCTGCAATTCCACACCTTGCCGGCAGACAGGTGGCATGATCCCCAAAGGGGGGGGGCACATAATTCATAGAACCCAATGTAAAATGAAAATGCAGGACCCCTCATTCAAGAGGCTGCAGGTGTACCTGAGTGGTAGGGACATGTCTAGAGTGTACAAGGCCCTGGATTTCATTCCCAGAGTCACAAAACAAATACATCAAATTCAAGATGACAACAATAGACCATCAGACCTCCAAAGGGCTTTATGTGACCGCACAGGCAGGTGTCCAGACAGCCTTGCACTGAAGATATATAAAGGTGTATTTCAGGAAGTTATTTTTATATATAACCGCAAGTTCTGATCTTCATGGAAGAATGCTGAATATTTGCAAGTATTTTTAAAAAACTGAACAGAAAACCTTGCAGTCATGCCATTCCTACAGAGGTACCAGTTGGCTCAGCGCTGCCATCTGGATTCTTTGGGTGCCAAAGCATGAGGAACTCCATCATACCTGTTACCATGTTTTCATCCAAGCCTCCATACCCTGCCAGAGTGCTGCAGCAAGGCAGGGAAGGCGGGAGTGAGGCCCTTGTTCCCACCAGAGACCATCAACAGAGGTGAAGGAGAGGGTGCTGTCCTGGAACTCTACCCGACTCCCCAGATCTCATGTGAGTGTCATATACACATACATACACATATGCAGTAATTAATTTCAACTTTCTAAAATTTGACCAACATTGACTTGTTTTGTACTCAGGCTGTCCTCGGTACTTGGTCATTAGTCAGCCTGGCCATTACAGGGAGCACTGTGGGTGTTTGTGGCAGACAATGGCACCTGTGCCCACCATCATTAATAAGGGCAGGCTCCGGGAACTAAACGATGAGAGGAAATGCTTGAACAAAGGAGGACTTGTCACTACCTGTGACAGTGCAGGGAGAAAGCTCAAGAATACTGTTCCACCTGGGCCTCCTCTTCCTCTGCTGAGCTTTTTGACCCACACATATCACGATGCACCCAGGCAGAGCTTGGGCCAGGGTCACATTGCATCATCCCAGCTACCAGGCAGCCAGAGGAAAGCAGGATTCAAAGTCAAAGAGACCAGGTAACACAGGTAAATTCCAAAAGGCTGCAACTGCTCTTCTCTCCCCACCTCTCTTGCTCTCTTTAGAGATACAAATACATGAGCATGTTAATTTATGTATATAGCTATATGTGTAAACTTTGGTACATGTATCTCTATGTGTTTGGTCTATATGTTATATATGTCTATATTAAATATTAAATATGCATCTATGTACATATATATTAAATATGTATGTATATGCATACATAAGGCAAGAAGACAGGAATATATATGTATGCATATATGTGTAGATATAAAATATTCATATGTGTATATATTTGTATAGAAATACATAATAAATATGAATATGTTATATTATGCATATATGCACATCTATATGTATATATAAAGAGCATGGGAGGCTAAGGGAGAATGTGAGTATCATATACACATACATACACATATACAGTACAATTAATTTCAATTTTCTAAAATTTGACCAACATTAAGAGTCTCTGCCATGTCTAGGCCTTATCCTGGGCACAAGAACACAAACTTCAATGAGTGTCACCCACCTCAAGGAGCTCACCACCCAGAGAGGAGACAGACTAAAACCCCTAGTGCCCAATCTATCAGCATGGTGGCATTTATAAAGGAAGGCAGCATAACTTGGTGGATCTGTGTTGAGGGTGGTTGATGACAAGGACTTCAATCAGCCACGCTGGCTGGTCCAGCTCCTGGCCCACCACTTTGAACCAGTGCAACATCAAACATGCAGCTTGAGCTGCAGGATCTTCATCATCAACACAAAGATCCATAATAGTGCCTTTGTCACACCGGCTTCAATGGCACACCAGTGGAAAGCCCTGATGCTTCCTGGCATCCAGAGGCCCTCAAGAAAAAGAAGCTGTCATGATTACTATGATTATTGTTACAATGATGAAGGACATAAGGTTGTGTAGGGGCACCAGAGAGAGAAAGGTCAATCTCACTTGGGAGGGATCAGCAGCAGCTTCATGGCAGAGGTGAGATGGAGGTGAATCGTCCCTAGGAACAGGTGCTTGTCAGGAGAACAAAAGGGAAAAGGGCTCATTCTGAGGATAAGGAAGAGCTTGTTCAAGGGCTCTGAGGCATGAAACACCCCAGCATGTCCAGAGAACTGCAGGCAGATCAGGACCAGAGTAAGAGTTCACGGACAAAGAGAAGCTAGAGCCAGCTCTGGAAGTGCCACCCAAAACCCTTCACCATGGAATAACAACTCAGATCTGCCTGTCAGAAGGTTTAGGAGATAGTCACCAGAATGTGATTTCACTTTAGGAGGGCAGGCTCCCCCCTGGGATCAGGTATCCTGAATACCCCAGGAGGACATTATGTCTTAAGGCAGAGGACTGTTCATCTGCCCGATCCTCCTTTGCTCACAAATCTTCAAAAGCTTTTTGTTTTATCGTTTGCCCTCGGAGAACAAGCAGCAGTTGCATTTCTGCAGGTCAGGACTCAGAGACAGAGGTGGGTGTGGGGGGCAGAGCCAAGACAGGAGTGAGAACAGGTTCCTAGGAGCAAACAATGCCCCAGACAAAACCAGCATGAGTAAACAACAGTCCAGGCACAGGAGCAGCCGAGAGACCAGGAGGTCACCCAGAAAGAGGAACAAGAACCTGTGCTGTGGCGGGAAAGGGGCGGACCCAACAGGACAGGGCAAAAGTGCAAAGTAGATCTTTACAGGGAAGTTGGTGACAAAGGAGGTCCCTGGTGGTGGGGACTTTGAGACAGTCAATGAAACCGTTGGACCCTGTCTCCATCAATCTGTTCACTCATCATTCATGAGGTCAGCCGATTAGTCAATTCTATTTATTTCTCTTTGTTCAAATGTGTCCCAGACTCTGAAGCTGCGGAGCCCAATCAGCCTCTGGTCTGTGGCCTGGAGCTCCCCCGCTGGCAGGCGGAGAAGGTAACTCCACACCACGGGGACGTGGCCCCGACCACGAGGGTCTGTGAGGGCGGGAGGAGGTCACCTGGCGTGTCCCAGGTATCGTCCTAGGTGTGCTTACCTCATTTGTCTTCTTCACTCTCCTTTGTCAAAAATAGACAATCTACTTTTCCTGGCCCCAATTTACACTGTGTCGTATTGGAGAATAGAGAAGCAGTAAGTGGGAAAGGGGTGCTCAGACAAGGAAAGGAAGAAGAGAGCCCAGAGCTCCCGATGCCTTCATGTTAGACCTCCCGCTCCTTCCCAGGACTGCCTCTGGATTTGGGCTTAGATTTTCATAAAACAAACATTGACTTTTCCATTTCATGCTTTCCTTTAATTTTAATGCAGCATCCCTCCCCAGATGCCCTTGTGTGAATCCTGTCATCGTGGTTCACAGAGCCACTGAATGTACACGTGAATTTGCTCAGACCCAGCAAAGGAGAGCCATCATCCCTGCAGGACCCGCCGAAGCATCGAGTCGGCGAGCTGGCACAGGTGTCCCATCACCGTCATGGGACCATCTCCTTGTGCTGTAGTTGCTGCAGCCTGGGGGTGACATTATGCTTGTTTTATGATGTTATCAAAACAAAACAGAAAGCAAGAGCATATCAGCCCATAATGTGGGACTCCACCTCTGCAGGTACTTTATGGTCAAGTAAGAAATTCAAAGAGCACTTCACAATATTTATTAGAAGTTATCAGGAGAACCTCATCTCTAACAATCATTATTTGTCTCTCAGGCATCATTTTTCTCCTGAAAAATCAAATCAAACAAGAAACTATTTAGTGAGCACCTACTATGAGACAGGTACTGTCCAATCCAGCAAACCTTCTAGGATGTTTTTTTCATTGTCATCTTTTCTTTCTTCAGATATTTAAGGTAGAGATCAGAATACTTCAGTTTTCCCTTTAAGCAGTTTTATTATTTGCAACAGTTTAACACTTTAATGGGTACCAAGAGCTTTCTGTGTAGATTTTTGTTTTGTTTTTTCTTGCTGCTGTTGTTTATTACCCAAAGCATTCCTTTTCTTTTCCTGCTCTCTGATTTTTAGGGAGAAAAAAAAAAAAAAAACTAGCATCTGGGGTCTGAGACCACTTGAAACAGTCTGGGCTGGGACTGCTAATGACCTCCCAGAGATAACCCAAATTGCTGATTTAGCAAAGCCCATTCTTGACCTTGACACAAGACAAGACAGGCAAAGGGGAAGGACTTGGGAGGGGGTCTTGAAAGAAAAAGGATCATAGAAGCGCTCAGATCTCGCCAAGCCCCCTCCCCCATTCAGCAAACACCTGGCTGAGTTGGAAAACATGACCGGTCCAACCTTCCTATTGGCACCAATTGAAGCTGTCAGCTCTCGCTTGTCACCAGTTGCACTGGGAGGCCCCGGGCAGCCACAAGAGCCCTAATTAGGCAGAAATGACACTTCTACAACTGACCTGCCAGGACCTTTGGCAAACCATTTAACATCATTAGTTAACATTTTTTAAAAGTGTGAATGTAAATGAACAGCCAGTGGCTTTCAATGGAGTTTGTCGGTGGCATCTCCCCCCTCCTTACTCTTTCTCTTTTTACATGAATAGTCCACTTGTTTTCTCCAGAATTGGAGGGAGGCACCGAGGAAGAAGGAGGAAGAGGACTGGTCCTCTGAGCTCAGAGACATGTTAGAGCATAAACAAGCTCAGAACAGCAGAGAGACCACCTCTCCCTGCCTTTCTAAGGGCTTGAACAGAGACAATCTCCCAGGGCCACCTGAGCAGAGCAGGGAGACGGCATGACACTCCCCCACCCCACCCCCGAGGCCAGGCTGCAGCCAGGTGCCCGGTACTCGTGAGTGTGGCCAGCCACAGCCCCAAGAGTCATCTCCTGGCTCAAGGGTACCTCTGAAATACCCTCTTCCAAACCTCTTCTGACTCGTTGGCATTCTGAACAGCAGACTATGTGGCCGTGACTTAGCAAATATCTTGCGTGTGACAGTTCTGATGTACCCAGTCCCTCTGGGAAGGTGCACAGTTCTGGGGGTGGTTTTCTCAGACACCAGTTGGATACTTACACAAATGAGCTCATTTCCTACCTGCAGCCGTTATTTCCCACCTCGAATCACACTTCATTTTGTTCTTTGCTTTACACCCACAGAATCCGTACACGCCAACACTCTCCATCTGTGGGAGGGGAAAAGAGTTTCACCGTGTTACAGGTCGTTTTGTCGGTTTCCCCCATGGCTCAAAAGTCGCCCACTCCTGCTGGCTGACAGTCGGGAGAGGTGGAGGAGAAGACCAAGTTGAGGGGGACCGCAGAGGAGGTGGGCTCCTGGGGGGGCCTTTGCACTTACCACCCACTTGTTGTTGTGTGGCCTTGGGCAAAGTGTTTGGCCCTGAGTCTCAGATGTTTTCATCTGTAAGACAGAGATAATGCCTCACTGTGTCAAGTGAGAAGAGAATAGATGAGTACCACGAGAACCGGAAAGCACAGTGTACCCATAAGGACTTGGCCGATGGATAAGAGCTGCTAAAACCAAGGAACCGCGCCAGGCTCTTGTCACTCTCTTATCCTGGAGAGGTGGCATGGAGAAAGTGTCCCCCTGCTTCCCCAGGCACACTCTTCCAAGTCACCAGCACATCCATCCCAGGCCCCCACCTGTCCTGTCCTCCCCGCTACTCTACTTATTCTCAAAAGGGCTGTAAATACACCAAGACAAGCGCAGCTGGGTAAAACAAATGCCTCAACACCGTGGTCCCTTAGTTAGCACACAGCGGCGGGTCCATTCAGATGCACAGTGGATGTTTAACCAAGTTCAAATGCAAGAGCACAGCTTCCAGATGTGGCTCTGCAAAGGCAGCCCAGGTCCTAAATTGGGAGTTGGACTTGTCCCTGAACTGAAGATGACTAAAACCAAGCAGGCGGTGTGTGCCGCATGCCTGTGACTAGCCGTGAGAGCGAAGCCAAAGAAAACAATCTGAGTTTGGGGCAGAAAGAGGGAAAATACTGAAAAACGTCCTTAATAACAGCAAATGGAGAGGGGGAAACTGCTCATCACGATGGAGCGTTTAGTGCTTTTAAGCTAAATACCTCAGCATATTAAGCAAATAGAGAAAAGCCAGCTAGAAGATGTCATCAAATTGAACCGCGCAGTGCTCAGAAAGCCTCTAGGAGGTGTCTGCTTTGACCCCTTTTCCCGTCACATGCCTGGTCCCAGCCTGCTTGTTTAGTATAGCCGCTCCCCTCCAGCTGCGGGGCTTATTGAAAAGCTCTCACTCCCTGCCTGGTTTTGGCACATTTTCCGCAGGTGCCTCCTACTGCGGCCACAATGGGCTGCTCGGGAGGTTTAGACCTGTCAACAGCTACAGGGGAGGGGGGGCAGGAGTGGAGGGGGCACAGTCATTGTCTTAAAGGGCCAGTGACATTGTGTGCCGCCACAGCAGAGCCTGCAGCACTGGCACCTGCTAATGAGATGAATCCTTTCTCCCGCTCCCTCTTTCTCTCTTTAATGATTTAACTTGATCGCTTTGGTTCCTTTCTGGAAGGGGAATTGCTCCATTGATCATATAAAGTAATTGCCTGTAAAACACTGCTCTGCAGCAACTACGTACGACTACTTCCCTGGCTGAAAATGTCACAGCAATTGAAAAGCTCTTAGCCCAGTTCAAGAATGAGGTTGCTGAAGAGAACAGTCTGCATTCAGCCCCCAAGTACTCGTGTGTTGGGAGAGTTACAAGTTTTGGGGTGTGACGGATTTTTTTTTTTTAAGACAGAGGATTTACCTCTGGTGGTAGGGTGTGATTTTTGCACGAGATTGTGGGAAACTCACCAGACACATCAAAACCAAAAGCGAAAACTCCCTCAACACTAAAAATCAGATATTTTCATTCAGGAAAAGAAATTGTTTTCTTAATTTCTCATGGGTTCAGAAAGACACCCCCAKGGACCCAGGGCGGGTTAGGAGGAGAGGGAAGAAAACCAGACCCTTGCCCAGGAGGGGGCGGGGGCCTTGGTTTGGGAAGCAGGGAATGATGCTCTAGTTGTCTAGGGTTGATGTTTCTGACCTGTCACTTGGCGGCAGCAGCGACACACTGTGGGAACGGGACCACACACTTGAGGAGTTTTCATAAATAGCTTTATTAAATAGTCGTTGCCACGCCAATGTGAGGGAGTAATTCACCTGGGGGAAAAATCACTTTGTGATAGGGAGGAAACTGCCGGGGAAATAAACACGAAGCCTGTTAGTGATGGTGTCATTGTCCTCTGACAGGTGAAAGCCTCAGTTTGTATCTGAATAAGAGAGACTTTTTCAAGGTAATTGGTGGGAAGCACCACTTGCTGCATGTCAGGCTGCCAGTGACCAATTTAGGAACAAAGCTTCAGGTGAATCACCTTTCATCTGCACGAGCCAAGGGTTTTCTTAGTTTTTATTTTTGGTAGCTGATGAACTAAGGGCAGTCGATGTGCTCATTACTGTACTTTCTTAAAAAGGCAAAAACATCCACCTGCTTACTGACAAAGAGAACTGAGCTATAAAAAGACTGTCTACAATTATAAATCTGAAAAACCTGTAGGACTTTTTACATTTAAACTTTGTGAAAGGTCATGGGTACAAGTTCCATAATCGTACATAGGTTTTTACATTTTATTTTCTTGGAATTTAGGGACTTGGGATCTTACATTTTAAAGTCTTTTAATATTGTAAGATTATATAAGATACTCAGGGCGATTACAGAAACAATACCAAAATATACAACATACACTAAAATGTATTTTTTTCTCATATAGTGAGAATTCAAAAGGAGGGGGAGGTGTGTTTAAATTTAAGTCCATTAAGTAAACTAATTCCTGGATATGTAAAAATTAGGTTGAAACCAGAAGCTGAAATTTTAACTCTTATTGGAAGATCTTTTATTTTTGTCTGTAAAATGAAATAATAAGATATATAATTAGACAATTACTATAGAACTAGATCAAATATAGAACTAAATGATTTCAAAAGTTCGGCCTGGCTTTGAGTCCCTTATCTAAAAAACAGTTTAGACAGCCTCTTATCAAAAAAATATATTATGGGAAATAGATGAGTGGTAAGTACGACCACAAGATTATTCTTAGCAACTTTGCCTATTAGGAGGTCAGGAGAGGAAAGTGGGTTGAGGTTAGCTCAAGAACAGGGGAGTCTGGAAGATCCTGGGGTAAAAACCAAAGCCCCACTGGCAGAGAACAGCTCAGGAAGCTGGAATGCACAGGGGAGGCCTGGGAAGGTGGCTCTCTGGCTGGGAAGGAGCCCAGGGTGGCCTGCCTGCTGCTGGTCCTTGGGCTGGGGCTGCATCCTCTGCAGGACTCTGGGAGAGAGGGTGCGTTGAAGAGGAGAAAATCAAGCCACACAAGCTCCACATCAGAGGAATGACTGTCAAATCTGATGGACAGGCTCCACTTCTGTATCATCTTCTGCTTTATTTGTGCATTAAGAGGTCTGACTAGCATCCAAAGTTCCCCAACATGAGATCCTGCTTTACAGCCTGTTCTTCACGGGACCTCTGCAGCACGTTTTAGACCACCTGACTCCACAAGGCTGAAATTAACCTTTAGCTATGGAGGTTTGAACTTCATACTAAACAGGGCTTGTAAAGATGTCAGGCAGGCATTTAAAACTAAAAGAATGCATTTTCAAATGTTACGTTATTCCTGTGCCCATGTACACCTAACTGATTAAATGTACCCAGAGTGATGAGAATTATATCCCAGGCTAATATGGGATTGCCCTGAGTGGTAACTGCTAACTCTTCCTAACTCAGACCTGTAAGTTTGCTCTGTAATAAGAGTCACAGACACTTCACCCTGAACACTTTATTTACTTGGTATATCCATATGTTTATTACAGACAAGGATCTCATCCACCAAAAGTTAACACATAGAAATGCTAAGATCCTTTATATAAGAAATAAAAAGCTAACTTCAGGCCGATGGGTAAGGGTACCTATCCAGACATTTGTATCTAGTATAGAAGGTTCATGTGTTTTCCAGTTAGAGAATGATGTCAGTCTGAGCTTTGCTTTGTGGCTCCTGAATGAGCACAGAACCACCAGCTCAGGGGAGAAAAAGACTCTACAGTGTTATGCCTCTGCAGAATGCATGGGATTGTTCTAGATGAAGATTTCAGCACGGCTGTGTGCTGCAGGCAGACATCACTGAGGCTGCGGGAGCTCAGGCCACTCCCTCCTTCAGGAGCAGGCTTGCTCCACGTTTCCATTCCCTACTTTTTTTTTTTTTTTTTTTTTTTTTTTAGTATTCCATCTGCAAAGCTTCCAGTCTTTCAAAAGTCAGAGAGCACTGAGTAACCCAAGGAATTTCCCGTACTCCTAGTTTTCTCAGCTTGAAGCAGATCACAGCTCCCTCCTCCAATCAGATCCTTCCAGAGTTACAGCTTACTTAAAAATATCCACTTAAAATGGATGCGCTTTACGAGTAACACAAGTGTGGCTGATTCCCAGGACCAGTTACAGATGCCTCCTCTAAACAAAGCCTAAAATCTTATCTACATGTTTTGTCAAAAACAGATGAGACAGCAGGATGTAATGAGCTACGTAATCCCCAAGCCTAAATTTAAAGAGCCAGGTAAATCTGTCATAAACCAAAGAATCATAATATGGACCAATCTGGACGTGACTGCTAAGCCTTAACCCCAGAGGACTCCGGCAAGTGTGTGACATATCTGACCACCAGCCAGGGCCTAGTTTGTGCCAAGGATAGTGCTTTTTTTCTCTTTTTTCCCTTGGCATTAAGGCTTGAAAAAGAATGTGAAAAGTTCAAGGCAGGCCCTTAGTGAATCTGAGTCAAACACACACACACACACACTCTTTTTGTTCTTATACAACAAATAATATTCAGGGATAAAGTCTATTGTACACATAAGTAAAAAAAAGTTCATATAATTCAGAATTCTTTGTTTTGATTCCATCTCTGGCTTTTGCAGATTTATAATTATCTCTCCCCAAAAGGCAACTAATTTTCCGTGTGTCTGAAGCACAAAAAAATATTAATTGAACGGATAATATTTTCTTTGCAAACATCTTCCTTAAGATTTTTAGGACTGGGATGTAGCTCAGTGGCAAAGCATCTGCCTTGCATTCGCAAAGCCCTGGGTTTGAACCTCAGTTCCAAAAAAAAAAAAAAATGATTT